TTTGCTAAAAATAAACGAACACAAAATCAAAAATTTCATGATTTTGAAGTGATCGATAAAATTTAAAAATTATGTACCTAATTTTACAAAATCGAAATAAATATTCGACATAATTTTGCCGCCCTCCAAAATTTGCCGCCCTATGCGGCCGCATGGTTCGCAGTGCCTTAAATCCGCCCCTGACTGTCGAACTAACTGCTATGTGTCATTTTTATAATAAGTAATTATGTGCACGGGTAGAAAAGTGTTGAGTGTGTATATTATGTATTGGTCAATCATATAGTGTGTGTTAAATGTGGGTATAATATATATATTATTATTATATAAGGTGTAACGAATGTTACAATCTCTATATTTTTTGAACCTATTTATGTAGTTTTATATTCACTATAAAATATCACTACATTATCTTGATTATCTGTATTCTGTAGACTATAGGCACATATAGATAGGTACATATAAGATAATATATGTAATCATTATAGATTATACTAGTAATACTGATACTATATATTATTATTATTTATTATTTAAATTAATTTTTCCTCAATATAAATTCTAAATATGTATTGTAGACTGTAGTTATAAACTAGTGCCGGATTTAACCATTGTGCCGCTTTAAGCACTAAATAAATTGCAGCCTTTTAATATAAATATTATTCTAGTCTAAAAAATGTTATTAATGCATACAATTGTTGTCAAATATTTTTTACACGTTTTAACGTAGAAAAAGATCTCTCGGCTGAACAGTTATTGCCATACATAAAAGCAAACGTAGAGCAATATCTACATTAGGAAAATCTGTATCTAGAAGATCTTATAAGTTAATATGTAATATGTATTTCTGTTTTCTGTATAATAATATAATATACGTATATTATACATTTTTCTAGGTTTATATAGAGATTTTTCCGGAACCTCATCGAGTCTGTCAGGGCCTTTGACCTACAATACATACCTATATGCAATAAACTCAACATATACCTAGTGTATAATATCGCTCCAATAGTACCAGTATATGTATACAAAAGTTTACGTTGTATATACGATCTATAATAATATATACATTTATAAAAACCTATATATAATATATATATATATATCACTGGTAATTTCGTAACATATTATATAAATTATATTGTGGACAGTGGTTGAATTRAAAAAAAATAAAGGTGGACYCTAAATGAAGTTGAATAATTAAGCAAATTAATTTAATAGTAACCTTGATGAATATAATAAAAGGGTTACGCTATAATTTGAAGAAAAATGAAGAGTAGCTCAGTCCCCCCTGCGTCTTCCCACAATTCAACCACTGATTGTGGGCTATACGTATACGTATATTATAATATGTTATACATATATTTTAGCGCCAAGCAGGTCTTGGTAATTTTTGCGATCACAGCGTAGGTAGTCTACCTATAGGTACTGAATATACAGTATAATACCTATCTGCAGCTACCACTACCTATATATATAAATCAATGATACATATATATATGATTTGCTTTCCTTCGCATATTACCATTTATGAAGTTGATTAGGTACTATGGCACGCATTTCGTTATATATATTAGCGCATAACTTAACGTTAATGCTACAGTTTATTATAATAGAGGTATAATGTATTATCCGTAGTCCGTAAATTTGTGCGTTCGTTTGTAATAAAACAAGAAATTGGAATAGTAAAAATGCAAAGACGTGTATAATATATTTTATATAGGCAGTAGGCACCTATTAATAGGAATTAATGGATACATAACTAAATACCTGAATACCAGTAACAAGCTATTATATTATATTATACGCAAAAATATTTAAATTAACACGTATGCTTAATAATAAACGGGTTTTTGGATCAACGGTTTACCTATGAAGTTCGAATTAAGAAAAAATAAGAATGTTTACTATTATTTAGGGTGTGTGCCTATATTTACCCATATAAATTATGGACTATGAAGTATAGAGACCACATATTATACGTTGCTATACATTATAACGATTTTAAATAGATAGATGGATAAACGATTTGGGATTGAGTTATTTTATTTACTAGGTATTAAAATAACAATATTATCCATGGATTTAAAACCATTTTAGCATTACCAATTTACCATAGGTACGTATATGTATAGTAATTTAATAGGTACTTTTGTACAAATAAATATTATATACACAATACACATAAAATACGACAGGATAAATCACAAAACAATTAATGCGTAATGCTTCAATTTCTATAATATAATAATATGGTATACCTACATACTACATAGGTACGGTACCTAAGGTACCTATAAACGCTGTATTTACTAAATACATATTCAAAAAATTATATAATAATATTTTAATCACACAAATAAACAAAAATATCGCAATGATATTGAGTAGGTATTGTAGTATAATTATAATCTAGTTAATAGGCTGTAATATCTACTTAAGTCTTAAGACATACACCACCCGCGGATTTGGGAATGGTGAAATAGGCACTACGTAGTAGTTAGTTATATTATATCTAGGTTGTACATTATTATAATATCATATCATATTATCATGATATGATAATTACTTATTGGTTTTACGTTTAATAATAAAAATAACTGTAAAATAATACCTATATCGTACCTCGTACAGAGCAGGAAAAATGTCGAGAAACTTAGTTATTTAGGTACGTGCCTATTATGTTTTTAGTTTTGTGATGGGTACATTTTATACTACACACACATTTTTCGAACGTCGAACAAGGTATCGATCGGTTTACGGTCGCGCATCTGTCACGACTATTCACGACTCATGAAACGTCTGTCGAAAATAATAGGAACCGTTCACGGCCCGCCTGTCTGTTATATCCTGATTAGGATTCCTAAAATTTTCTTTGCATTACTCATATAATAACAGTTATCACAAATCTTTTAGAGTTTAGACATCAGATCCATTAGAGCTGAGAGTGTATACTTAGTTTTAGGTATTATACATGATTTAAGCTATTCATTTACAATGCTAGACTAGCAAGATATATCTTAAACCGTGGTTAGTATAGTTAATATAATAACACACCTAGTTTATAAATTTATATTATGTTTATCGTAATACATACTCAATCCATGATGCGGTTTAATTTTATCGTTTATAACTTTATGACTATAACGAATATTGATAATGAATAATGGTACACTGTTGTTCGACAACAGCAGGCTAAGCTATTTAGGTGCTGTAAAAAAAATTGTTATTACACTCGTTATCGTTTACACAAAGGTTGAGTATAAATAGTACAGAACCAAGATTTTATAGACATTTAACTGGTAATAGGTAAAATAGACCAAGCAAAAAAATAATACGAAAAAAATAACATTTTGAAAATGTAAAAATAAACAATTGATTATCATAACAAAAATAAAATTATTTATTTTTTTATAATTATTTTTACTAATTTATCACTAGTAACACTGCAAAACGGTAAAAAGCTAATTAGTCGAGTATTGTCAATATTATCATTTGATCGTTGTTAATTTTCATAATCAATTATTATTTATTATATTTTTTATTTTTAAATTATTGTTCTTTTTTATGTTAGTTACTTTTTTGTTTGATAATATGATTTAAGTCAATATTCATTCTAATATTAAAGTTTACAACGTCAAAATGGATTCCACTGAACTCAAATCCGTCCTTGCTTCTTAATTACGACCTCCGAATTGATTTGCTCCAATGAAACATAAACATAGGTAATAATAATTAATAATTATATATTTAAGCGTGCATAACTTTTAAAAGATTGAAAATTGTATATAATTGTACACAATATCTATTCAATATTCAATATGGATGTATACCTATGTTTGATACTTTGATACATAAAATGCCAAAGTGTGAGCCAAAACATATTTGAACCAAATAAAATGTTTGGACAACTGCAGTTTGTAACTATAGGTACTGCAGCAGTACAGCTTACTGCATAGGTAGTGCATATACAAAGTGTCCCGCGATTTACCCATTGCGGTATCTCCCGAAATAATGGAGATATCAAAATTCTGGTTTTGTAATAAGACTCACAGGGATAAGAACTTTTAATTTATTTTTATGTTTAAGTAAAAAATAAAAAAAATATTTAATTCTTTCCAAAAAAATTCACTATAGCCATTTTGTAGAATTTATTTTTCTAAAAATATTGACGTTTCAAAATTTTATGTTCATTATTAATKACCTAATTTTTAATTTTATTTTAGTTTTAAGAAAAATTTTCAATTATTTAACATCGTAGTGTTATGAAACATGTGAAACGCTGCGCAGTGCGTGCGCTCCTACGACCAGTCGTACGATTTCATTGTACCTAGTTATAATTATATTTTATTTCTTCAAAACTAGAAAAACTATTAAAAATCAGAAAATTAATAAAATACAATTTTGAAACGTCAATATTTTCAGAAACATAAACTCTACAATATGGTTGCATTTAATTTTTTTGGAAATAATTAATTGAAAAAATATAATTTTTAAATTTTTTACCAAAGCATTAAAATAAATTTAAAAAACAAAATAATTGTAGTTCTTATTCCTGTGAATCTTATAACAAAACCAGAATTTTTATATCTCCATTATTTCGTGAGATATTGCAATGGGTAAATCCTCGCGGAACATCACCTGTTTAGTACCTATATAGTACCTACCAGTCCGACATTTTCAAAAACACGAACAAAGTAGAAACTATTTTATTTTATTTAAGAATTTAACTCGAACAGACACGAATATCATTTACTATCGAAAATAGTTTGTACAATAGTACTATGTAGGTAGTTACCTATTTCCTACCTAATACCTATATTATTTATTGTCACCGATATTGTTTCAAATTTTGTTGTGGACTTTTCTGGAAAACATAATACACGTTGCTGCTTTGTAGGCCTACAAGGCCTTCTAAAACTATTCGTAACTTGTATTAGGTACTTTTATCAGAATTTAGATTCAGGAATCTATAGTCTAGACTTTTAATAAAAAAATATGCAGTTGTTTTCATGGCCCACGGGTTCACGCATAATTAACGTATGTATTCTAGAATTCACTAATGGATACTTACTAATTTCTAGGTACTAATGTAGGTAACCAAAATGTAGAGGTAGACTGTGTAAAAAATAATCAAAATCACCCCCATTATTGTCGATGTACCTAATACCTACCTATTGTGAACAATGTGAACAATTCTCCATCGCGAGGGATGCACTTTCTTATAGGACGCGACAATATACGACACTCGTTGCAGCTCAAGGACTATGGAGTTCAAGGTGTTACTCCTACCAGGTGGGATGATCAGAAATTCCGAAGTATATCAAACTACCAAAGCGTGATATTATTATATTAAATATTAGATAATATGTTGTACATATTGTCACGATGTATGAATTAAAGYCTAAAGTACATAATATCGTCGTATTGAAAACTCATTAACAATAAATATTTCTCTACTATTTCTGGAATATTAAGAACTCCATACAATATGATACTTAAACATCATCTCGTTAAGTGATTTTATGTCCAAAAAAATAAATAAGTCTGTCAAAACTCAACTCAGAATTCTGAAATTCAGTAGGTATTATTATGTATAATATTATTATCATAATAGGCAGGTTTAGGGGGTATTAGCACCTTCAATTTTAAAATTAGCTCCTTCAAATAATGTTCGTGTTAATGTTTCAAAAACTTCTCGTTACAAAAAAAAACTATTATTATTTATTGATTATTCACCTATCGGTTCATCGATAGAATYTCCAAGCTACAGCGATTTTAAATTTACGATATAATGATAGATACTATTAATTGTTGTCGGATGGCTTCCAGTTTCCGATATCGCAAATGATAATATTTAGAAAACAAAATATGATTATTGTGTAATTATTGTTCTTGTGATAATGTGATGAAATCGTTAGTTCATTTTTAATCTTAGATATTATATCTAAGATTCAATTGGTCAGTTAACTTTAACTATAATATTATTGTAATTGGTAAGGTATGTGTCTACCTTAATGGTTTAATCCTGTTTTCGTAGTTTAATACCGTTGAATGTCCAAATGGGAAGGATTTTGTGTAACTCTCCATCAGACGGTCAGACTTATCGATCTCACTATGGCTTCATAGCCTAATGTATCAAACCTTCTTATTGTAGGCGAGTATTTATTCAATAGCCATTGACCGAATTCATAGATCTCATTCTGTTTTAATGTTTTGCCATCTACTAATATCCTATAACCCATTTATGCTGTTATGTTACACCAAATAATTATTCTTATTGATCAAGATATTGATGTTTCTTAGCGTTGAAATTATTTTGTTGCTTATGTATTTTCAGGTTAGTTATTCCTTTCTGTTAGCATATAGTTTTTATCACAAGTCTACAGTATTCAAAGTTTTTATTGATGTTACTTTTTCATATTTTGTATTATTTAATTCACTTTTAATAGATCTTTAAAGTATTAAAAATTACCTTGTGTCATTTGTATATTAAGTGAAATTGGTAAGTGTATTCTCTGTAGCTTCTGTCCTACTATATTCACATTCCTTAAATTTGTATCTAAAATTTCATGGTTTGATCATTGAAGTATGTTGTTTGCTGATGACAAAATTTTGGTTGGAGAGAATCTGGAAGATGTTAATGATAGGTTTGATTATCCCTTGAAGAAAAGGGTTTGAGGATTAGTAGAAATAAAGCAGAGTATATAGAGTATGAATTTGGAGGAAATGACTAAGAAGTTAAAGTGATGAGGAGACCTGCAATGACAATAGGCGGTGATGTGATAGGTGAACATATGTGATGGATCTATTGAATATATTTTTTAAGATGAATATTTTAGTAAGTTAGGGACTTATGTATTATCATTGACTACCAAAATATTTCCAAGATTACCCATTATCATCAACTCAACAAAAATATTTGTTTTTTTTTTTAATTTAGTGAAAATCATAAAAGTTAGTTATAAATATAAACTTACCAACACGCTGTAGTATTTAGTATGAAATTTGAATAAAAGATTAATATTTTAAGCATACATATAAGATAAAAGGACGTAAATAGTTGATTTAGTAAAAAACTAATAATAATTATTTATTTTTTTAATCACTTTTAAAATATTCATACAATCAGCATAATATTAAATTATTACCAAACTTTTATAATATAAATACTGAGTATTAACTAGACATTTTGAGTGATAGTATATTTATTATTTATTATTATGACTACTTAATTAAATACTTGAAATATTTGTAGATCATATAGTTTGAGTTGAAAATATTTATTTTTATTTCACAAATTTAAAATGTGCCTTACGTTTGTCATGATTACTATGTGCCAGAATATACTAGGTAGATGTTTTGAAAAGTATTTAATGTTTCTTTTATTTTCAGGTTTCATTGTCAGGCTAAAGAAATTGCAGAATATCGAATCCTAAGAAGATCTAAACCTCAGAATAATATGTATAATAGATAAATATGTGGTGATTAGGGCTCATACGTCAATAATATAATTATTAAAATTGAAGTATGGCGATTTATGCCTATATAACAAAATAGTTGACACCGCAATTTGTGCCTAATCATAGTGACTCAACAAATTGGCAGTGTGTGTGAGAGAGTAGTACATATATTAAGTAAATATAATACAGTCATACTTAATCAAGCGGCTGTGCCTYTATGAATTACCGCACTAAAAAATAAATTTTATATGATGATTCACAAATAATTTAAATAAAACAAATAATATTATATATTTATATAAGTTTGCGTGTGTGTGTGTCAGACTGCCGCTGACCCATATTTATTATTTGGCTGGAGTGGTAGGAACTACTAACTATAGGTAGGCAAAATTTAATTATTAATGTGGCACGAACAATTATCTGCTTTAAAACATTGCATGCATTTAATAATTTTATAGGTTTATATACTCTACTCTAAATGGCAAATGTATTACTGTAAATCTAATATTGAAATTTTCAGAATTCATATGGTCCACTTAACTGGTTCATATTTACCCGTTCCACAAAAGAGGATCTTGAAAAAAACACTTTTTCATAGCACCAAGGTCAATGTACTAAACTCTCTTAAAGGATTATTTGAAGGAAGAACAGTAAGGAGACATCTACAATGAGAATACATCTTCAAAAATAGCAATAACTATTTATTTAACAGTTGAAGGAACAGATTACAAACTAACAACATATCAAACATTTTATTGAAATAATTATTATACCATATGGCATATAGCATGCTTTCAAAAGTTATACACCGATCTGTATCTGTTTCTAGTGAAATCAATTTTATTTTTCTCACAGTGGACCAACACGTGAACCAACAAATTGAACTATTCATGCAAGAGTTTATAATTAAAGATAGTATTTTTGAAATTATTAATAAATAAAAATATATTTCTATTGGATTAATGTTTAATTAAAGATTTTAACAAATATATGATATAAATAGGATCTTGGTAGTTTATAGTGAAATATGTGTGACACTATACTAATACTTTACCATATTTACTAGTTGCGTTAAATTAAAATCTATCTACTTAGGTTCTGATTGCTGTCACTAAATTGTGTTGGTCTGGAATTTAGAACTCGGGAATGATTATTACACAAATAAATATTATATTAATAACCATTACTAAATTGTTAAAGATCAAAAAAATTTTGATTAATAGATGTTTGTAAACAGAATAGCATATATAATTTTAGCATGTTATAATTATATGTTCTAAACACTTTATTAACAGTTATTAATATCATTATCTATGTAATTGTATATGCTATATTTTTTATATATTATGATAGTTTTTTACAAAAATCTATAAATCTACATTTCTCTTCACATATAAATCCAAAAAATAACAGGTACCTATTAGAAATATTGATACTTGGTTTTATGTTTAAATTAAGTGGTTATAATCTTGTCAAATTTTTTTTGTCGATTTAAAATCTTGAGCCATATTTACCTAACTTAACCTTAGATTTTAAATGTGCTCTATATTTGATCAYAAATAAAAAATTAATTTAAATTATAATACTATTTTAGTTAAAATATTGTTAATTAGGTACCGTACAAACTTTTTATGTTGGTACATATCATGATGTCTTTGTGTCAAATGATTTTGACATTTTGTGTCAAATTCACATTTAGAAAACGACATAAAAGTATAAAACTATATGACAAATAACCATCATGTTCATGATTTGTGGCTTTTTGTCGTGCTTCTAGATTTTATATTAAAAATTCATCTTAAAATATTAATTAGGACAGGAGTTATTTCATATGTCAGGTATACCTTGTATTATTGAAGTTCAAATTAATGATAATTAAAAATTAAAATGTATTATAATTTTTTTAAGACAGATTAACATGTTTATAATATTTATATATTTCAATATTTTGAATAATGTACTCTACTTAAAAATCTTGTCATGGTATTCACATTTATTTTTAGTAAAATATTGAATATATTATATAGGTATTGAACGGACAAAATTAATTTATAATACAGTCTGCGTGTGGTGTAACCATTATTTCCTTTTATAATGACTCCAATATCCATCCAAAATTTTGTAATAATTAAAAGTTTCTTGCACTACATTACTTACTGTATTCAGTAATTTAGAAATATTTTATATTAATGAATTAATGCAATTTTTCAAACTTAATATGCAAAACTATTGTTTTTAATTCATTTTTAATTTTGTTACCATGTATAATATTCTTTGAGAGGTAATTGATTATTGGTTTAAATTTTAAATTATATGGTATTTTATTAAATTTCTGAATAAGTTATAACCTTATAAAGTTATAACAATATCAAAATCACATCTCTCATGCTAGTATAAAATCTCAATTAATTGATGTTGGCGGTTAAAATAATATACACAGTAGGTAGGATGTATTTACTATTTATTTCATATTTTAAATTCATAAATACAAATCTTCTGTGATTAAAATCAAAAAATCAAAAATATTAAATTCAATCAAATAATATTTAAAATTTCGTACTATTATGATATCTTTTTGTTATTTACCCTACACCTGTTATTTATTCCACTTCCATCAAGATCGAACCAGAGAATATATGAAATTAATGATAATATATATTAGATTTATATTATAAATTTCATATACTCCGTGATCGAACCTTCTATTTATACTAGAATATACTAGTATTTATACTAGCCTTGGCAACTGAGTAGTTTGTAGTGGTTTGTACAACAGAATAGATGAAATCTATAAGACATATTTAGTGTTTGTACTATCATAGTTTATCGATAGTTTATAAAACAACCAAATGATTTTTCGATTGAATAGATATTTTTAAATCTCGATTGTTTAGATAACTATCGAGTGAATTACTCGATAGTTTTTAATAAATTGTAGTACAAGGTACAACTAGTTATGCATATGCACAATTTCATATTTTGACTTGGAGGTGCTTTACATATTTTAATGAAATAATGAATCAGATCAGTGGGTGCTCGCCCCCACCCTGTTTACGTGACATTTTAATACCAATAACATGTTTCATTAAAATAGATCTATTATTAAAGGGAAAATTATTTTCACTGAAACATAATAACAACATTTTGGTACTTATAATGTATTTTTAATATTTTTATGTTATATTATATTATCAAGTAAAATGTATTGTTATAATTCTAAATGTCGGATTGATATTGAAAATTTGTTGGATGATCATTCGACATATTCCGTTCAATATAATTATGAATTATTGATAAAACTATTATTTAACTTGAATAATGTTCTGCGGGTGAACCGATATGGAAAACAATATAGTCAAAAATGAATAGTTGTTTAACGTTAAGACGTTAGAAAAAAATTACTTTAAACAACGATTATAAATATAATCGTATAAACAGTATACTATTTTGAAGATGAGATTAGATAATTATCAAAGAATTTAATACTTGAATTAAAATACAAATTTTTGGAGTGGTTAATTTTAATATCGGAGAGGCTTAGCCCTTCTTAGCCTCCCCCCCCCAAAAAAAAAAAAAAAATTGCGCCCATGTAGTTTTAACTTTTTAATAGCTTAATAAAACACCATTTTTTATCCTTTATTCAAGCGGACTATAGTATAAATTATTCAATATTTTTATAAATATCGATAGGACTATTCAAACTGAAAGCATCGAGTATCGGCAGTTCGATTATTCGATAGTATAGGTAGTTCGATTGTTTAGATTATAAAAACAATCGAATTAATAGATAGCTTAAAACTATCGAGTAATTAGATAGTTTTCAGTTTTTCACTCGATAGTGCCCATCACTACAGTTACTGTACACGTCCGTGCTACTGTATTATAATAATAACAAAACCACCTAAATAATAGTAATAATAATTGTTTCCCGTGATAAATCGTTCGTCGTTATCAGGGTCAAGTCGCAGACTGCTACACATTAACGATATTGTTGTACATCTCCACGGCTGTATATTCGTGACATCTCTCTTATCGTCCATTTGTCTTCCCCCCTACAGTTTTTCCCAGTGATTTATTGGATAATAATATTGTAATAATATCGTTTCATTTCGTTGCTATTTTCGTCCTTCACTGGGCTTTGTGTACACTATTATCGGTCGTCCATCTGGTAAAACCCACTGGATTTCGATCTATTCGTTTCTCGCGTTCGTTAGACCGTTGTGCGTCGTCCTTGGCCACAAWATTAATTCGTGAAAATTCGTCGTTTAGCTCGCCCGTGTTACACTGTGCAGTATTGTGCCTTGAACGACGTCTGCTTTTTCTCGGTCCCGACCATTAACGAACCAAATCCGAACGGCTAAAACATGACTTCCAACGACGATCTGATGAAAAATACGATGTTGATCATCGAACACAAAATTAGAAACCTGGAAAAACGCAAGGTAACTTGGACGGACGTTGCTTAATCGCTGTAAATTATAATTTTTCTTCCTTGTGACGAACGTTTGATTTCTATCGTTTTCTCTACATATTCATTTGACCGTAATATTAATTTAATTTTTCGTATGTATCATAATAATTTAGTTCGGCATTGTAGAGTATGCTCATATTGTATTGCTGTTTACATTAAAGTTTCATTATGTTTTTCTATTATTTAAATTTGTTAATAATTTAGTAGATAATTGACCATAATTGTTTAATTTCAGTCCCAAATCTCATTTAGGTAATGTAAAAACAAAACGTGTACCTACTTGTTTTATTATAGAAGTTATTTTTAGTACCTTACATTTACATAATCATTCTTAGGTATAAATTATACCGTATAATCTACAAATTTGATACCAATTTTATTTGTGTTTTTATCTTTTTAGCATTTTTTTTAAATTATTGTCTGAAATGCACCTTATTATCAACCCCCTCATGATTTAAAATTTTTTTTTAAACAATTTGTTTTTATGCTTCAAAAAGATGGTGTAAATATTTTTTACCAGGAACTATTAATTTAGATTAGTGTTTCCCAAAGAGTGTGCCCTTTAGCACAACATATTAATAAAAATGTTAAACACACAGCTGCACCAATTGATAAATAAATTTTATTTTTTTGAATGATAACCACTATTTTTTTTAATGGTTTCTGGTAAAATTTTTTCCTGAAAATGTTGATAGTCTAATCATTAATTTTGGTTGACTTGTTTATTAACTATAATCTTATAAAGTTAAAGAAATTGATTAATTTTTTGAATTGAAAAATTGATATAAATCAGAGGTATTCAAACTGTGTGTCACGGCTCCCAGGAGTGTTGCAGAGTAATAGTAATACCTTGTAAAAAATTAATAATTAAAAATTTGTTTGTCAAAAAAAAACATTATCTTTCCTATAATAGTACACATAATTATGATAAAATTAGCTAAATGGATATAAGAATATAATTTTCTCACCTTAAGGTTTGTGTTGTTTGACATCTCTTTCTCTTGCAATTTTACATTCTCCTTTCCTTACCTCTCTCCTTACGTAGGTATAAATTCCACACTTAAGACATTTGGAATTTTCATGATTTGCCATGATATTTTTGCCAATTAAAAAATTTGTGGTTGATTCTTCACTACTAATAATTAAATAAAAATCTTTTGCCAACATATTGAGTGTATAAATTATAAAATATAAATTGTGGTGTCGTGCAATAAATGACGTACTGAGCTATTGAGTCCATATTTTTACAAAATGTCGTATGTTGTTATCTATGTAAGACAATAAAGATAAAATGTTGACCAAAGAAAAAAATTGAAGTGTATCTATTAAAGATAAACTCAAGTCTATGTAAAAACCGACCGGTCGCAGGTAGACCGCATACTACATGACAGCCGTAAGAAATAACTGATGCAATAAATGTAAAGTACCTAATTAATTAATAACCATTATAATAATAAATTACAGTAATAACATTGATTTTGATATAGGTAAGTGTATTTTAAAATGAAAATAAAGAACAATGTTTGCCAACAATTTTGTTAGCATTTGTCTCAAAACTTTTTTTTTTTTCGGAATGTGCTGATTACTGATTGAACTGTATAAAATGATGACTAAAAGAAAAAAAATTATTTAGTTCTTTCAAATATGTTTATACAAATTATTTCGATTCAAATTATTTATGCATTAATTTAACTTTAGAGGACTGTAGTTACTATAGAAACTAAAGAACCATAATTGGTGATTTGACTATCAACATTTTCAGCAAAAAAAGCTTTAATTGAAATCTATTGAAAAATATAGTTGTTACCATTTAAAAAAATTAAATTTTTTTTCATATTGGTACAATAACTGCGTTAAAAATTGTTGAAATGTTTATAAAAAGATAGCCTGTTAAAAGTAAAGAACCAAGTCTTTTTTGTTTTTTTGAAATTCCATATCATCGATCAATTATCATTAAAAAAACTTACACTCAAGAATAAAAGATATACCTGGTACATATATACCAACATTTTTCTTTAAGATATTAGTTTCCTTGATTAAATCAGATGCCCATGAATTAAATGGTATTCTCGTTATTTATGGTTTACTGCATGGTTTTATATTTAATTAAAATACCAATAATAAATACATTAATGTAGAAATAATAATAATAATGATATAAACATTTTAATACTATTTAGTAAAACAATCAATAATACAAAAATGTATAATAAATTATACTATAATTATTATTATAAATCATACTTTGTTATCTAATTACCTTTCTAATTCTAAATAAAAATTTTTATTATTATTATTTTTTACATTACATGGGCACCTACTTAAATATAAAATATCATACCTACCTAATTGTTTATAAAAATATTATCTATTATTTGACATTTCTATTTAAGTTAAAAATGTAAGCTTTACATTTAATTTTGTATATTTTACTGAGGTATTTAAGGCGAGATTGAAGGTTATTTCATACATTAATAAAATAATAATACCTAACAACTGCAACAATGCATTGGCATTAGTGCAATTTGGTCTAGATAATTAAGTATATATTGGAAGGTGTGGGGCTGTAACCCCACAAAACTACAAGTAAACAATTATGACTATTGGTTACATGGTTTATATTTATACATTTTTGTCTAGAATATTTTGCGTTACCTTCAGAGGTATTATTTTTTTTTTTAATTATGAAGAGAATAAATTTTSTTTTTTGCTATTTTTATGAGTTTATAGCCAAGTTTATAGTATAGATCTTACTTAAGGATTTTTAGGTCATATTTCAGTTATTTTTAGTGCTATAAAATACAAGCCCTGATTATTATTCACAACAGTTACAAATGTAATTGAGACGTTTCACCATTACTCCATTAGACTAAAAGTTATCACATAAATATTAATTATCCACAAAAAAAAGTCATTACGAGGTTGTGGGTTGCTAAAATTTGAACAATTATCAAAATGGGCTGTACAGTGAAGTTTGAGAACCTCTGATCTTATTATAAATTATATTCAGTTATAGGTATAACAGCTTAAGATAATTTATATTAGACTACTTAATTTAGAATTTTTATTTTTATTTAGCTTAAATTAGAAGGATACCTCCAACAAAAACAAGAAGGAGTGCGATTGAGTGATGATCAATTACTAGCTGCATCAAAATTTAATGAAGTAGTTAGTACTTTAGATTTTGCAAGAAATCTGAAAGACCAGTTAAATACTCTTTTAATAACAGCAAAACAAATCAGAAATAGTACAAATGGTGAAAAACTTCCTACCAAAATTGATAGTAAAATCAAGCAGGTTTTAAATTTTCAGGTAATTTCTTGTAGCAAAATAAATTATCAAATAATTGAAAATAACAATTGTTGTTTAATTAGCTAGTATATAGGTTATAGTTATTAAATTATTGAGATAAATTGTTAAATATGCAAAACACTTAGTTTTTATATTAATAAATTAATGTAGAAAAATTCATAAACAAAAAAAAATTGACAAATTGAATTTTTATTTTTTTTTTTTGAGTATATTTACTCTCATGCTTATTCATTTGGAAAATTATAAATCGTATACTATTAAAAACCAAATTTTTTAGTACAATGTCCTTTAAAATACATTGTAATTGATGTAGATACTAAATCTATCTATTATACTTCTTTATAATATAAGACATAGGTATATTAATAATTATACGAGTAGTATATAATATCATAGTTACTAAAGTTTATAGGAAAGTAAATAAAATCACTTACTATTTTATCCTGATATTTAAATTCTAAAGTCTAAACACATGCATAAATCTATTCCTTATAATTATTTCAATACTACTCCTTTCTGATATTAACATATTATGGTTTAGGCTAGTGTTCATATTCAATTTAATCTCAAACCTCTTCAGGGATGCAATTAGTCTAATTCACTGGTCACTACTATGAATAAGTTTTTGTTTGCCTTAACTAATTGTTGTTTGATAAAATATTATTTATAACTTTTGATTTATTGGTTTCTAATTTAGGTAAATGCATTTATTTGATTTATGAGTAATTTTTCCTTGTCTTGTTATATTAATTTGAATATTCATGTATAACCTTATACAGATTCTTCACAATTTCAACTAAATTCTTGCTAGATAATTAAAACTTTTTAAGATTGTAGTTTTTTTAGTCTTACACCAAAATTGCTGTTGAGTTTTAAAACTTATAATTTTACTATGGACTAAAAACCAAATTTGAAGTTTTCATTTGGTTTAATTTATTAATATATTTTACTAACATTTAAGCATCCTCTATTAATTAATATTTCAATAATTCTGATTAACTTATACATAACATTATATTGTAGATATTTTTAAAAATCAATATTTTAAAAATGTATATTATCATTTTTTATATCTTTGTTATTAGAATATTCTGGAAAGTATTAAAGATGAAACTGTTAAACAAGATTTATTAGCTGGTAATAATGGTGCAGTACAATTGACTGATGATGAGCTCTCAAAATTGTCATATTTTTCTAAAATGGTTTCACCAAAACGAAGAGTAGAAGAAGGAAAACCACTTTTTGAGGTAACTTATAATACTGAAAAAACTAACAAAGCCAGTGATAAATACAAGGAGGGGGGTTGTTTGGGAAATATGACTCCCATTTTAGAACGTGTTTTGTTTAAATTATTTTTTCAAGTGTTATTTTTCCCATGTGTATTTGAATGTTTCGATTGGTTGATTATTGTTATTAGAAATTTTTTTTTCTTTAACTTTAACTAGATACTCTCAAAATTCAAACTATATTGCTTATTGAAAAAAGCGAGGAGTATGAACATAACTCTTGAATTCATTTTTATATACCCCCCCTGGTTACCCCCGTGACATGTCACTGATCAGTGGCTGTCCTTGACTAATTCCAGGGGGGGGGGTTGAAATATTTTTCACATTAAATACAATAAATACTCAAAAATAGAAGTCATAACAAAATTTATTTCATGCAATAACTTTATATTTTATATTTAACCTAGGGGGAGGGAGATCCACCCATAGCCCCTCCCCCCCTAACTGTGTTTGAATAGCTTTTATATTTATCTTATTTATAAAATATAGGTATATACTATATAATAAAAAAATGGTTTTATATTATTTATTTATTTATTATTATTATTATTTTTTTTTTTTTGAACTAACACTACATATTTATAAAAATGTATGTACAGATTGGATTTGTAATTGCTAGCACATTACAAATAAAGACGCACATGGAAATTATTTAAACCTCTATTTTTTTATTTTTTTATGTTTAATACAATAATTTTTATTTACTACGAAAATATATTAGTGTTTTTGATATTTTAATTGTTAATATTTTTTAAATTATAGGATCAACTTAAGACTGTTTCCAAGCACTACATGAAGCTTATAGAAAGTAGACCTAATATTGTAGCTGGTACAAGTTATGCAGATTTAAAAGAATGTTTATTAAAAATTGAAAAAAGTGGTTATCTGAACAATATAGTAAAACTTAAAAATGTTGATAAAGAAGTTAGTACAATAATTATTTAAATTATATGTATGATAATTACACTATATTACTTTTAAGGTAAATACAACAAATGAAGATAAAAGTTTAAAAACCAAAACACCTCAAGATATTCATCAATCAATAGCTTCCATAAGTGATGATTCACCAGATAACATACCAAGTAATTTATTTATGATTGGTATTTTGAATTAATTTAACCATCATTACTTGTTTAGTTTCCAGCAATCCTAATTTGGAATTCACTTCAAACAAAATTGAAACAATTTATTTTACAAATAACAATATTAGTGGAGATACAGTTGAACAAAACCCACAAAAAAGTAAAAACACCACAGATTCAGTATTCAATACATCCTTTGACTTTTTACAGGTATTTATATTTATATAATATATATTATTAAGTACACAATTAAAATGTTAAAACTAAATAATAATTCTTAAAAAAATTGGTTTTACATTATTTTTATTTCAGGATTCTCAACTTGAAGAAGATATTATAAGCGTTGACATGAATTCTATACCAACTCAAACATTTTCATCTACTGTTTACAGTAATCATGGACCAACAGATGATGCAATTTTAAAAATACTATCTACTCCTCCACAACACCGACCTTTGGTACCTATTCTACACAACATTTTTTTATTCCAAATAAATCAATTTATTTGGTGAMAATTTTTATTTATTTAGGAAACAAAACAAAATCATTTAGAGAATGTTGTGGATGTAAATGTTTCTAATTCTAATTCCTGGACAGGAAAAACAGAAGTAAACTGGCAAAGTAGAACAGAATCAGGAGATAGTAATAATTTACCTAGAGAAAATTGGTCAATGGTTCAAATTATAAATGACAGCACAAATAATGATTGGCTTATAAAAAACAATTGGGTTCAAATGGCTGAAGTAGATAAACAAAACCAATCACCAGCACAACCAACTCAACCATCACCCAAACATTCCTCTTCTAATTTCGGTTTAGTTACTAACGGTATATAAAATGATTATTTATCAACTTTAATGTTCTAATGTACTATGAAAAGATAGGATATAGGTATTACCTATAATTTTAAATAATTTAATTTGATTTAGTACTTTAGCATATTAATATTTATTAGTAAAAGGTAAAAATATTACAAAAATAAGTAATTTAAGTACAATATAATGAAAGACTATCTTAGAGTACTAATTTTATTCTCGATCATACGTACTTATTTTAAAATTTTAATCTGAATTAAATGTTTAAATTTGTTTATAAACATGCAATGTGCGACTGTTTAACCTTCAGGTAATGTAAAATTCCAATTCAAGAAAGTCTCGCCTATTCTTACCCAATAGATTTCAACCTAACAAAGTTTATTTAAAACAAATTATCAATTTAGGATACACAGAGAATTTCGATGAGTTATTGCAAAAATCAGTGGTTTCCAATAAACAAGAATCATACCCTGTTACTACTTCCTCTAATAATTCAACGTATTATCAAACCAATTACGGGCAGCAATCGCTAGAACGTAATATTGGGCATTATACTAATTCTAATGGTAGTAATCCTAGGAGCCACTCAAATGATTTTAATAAAAGATCTGCTTCCATGAAATCCAAAGCTTCATATTCAGGAGAAGGTTGGTGATGCATATTATATTTGATAATGAATAATATTTAACAATGTATTTTTATACAGGAGGACCATCACGAGGTTATCAACAAGGCAACTCATATGTTCATAATAATCGCTTTTATAAAACCAATAGCAATACCAACATGAGTAACGATTATTCTAGAATCTCACGGCAAACCTGATAAATCTTACAATTTATTACTTAATTAAATATTCTACTGTGGAAATTGAACAGTATACATTTCATTTATTAAATTTGAACTTCTTAGATAATATTAGAGAGCCCGTATAAGCTCTTAAAGGCTCTTTATATAATACCAAATACTTATATATCCTCATAATTCAATTGTTCGTATTTTTTTTTTCTTAAGTATTTGAGTTCATTGAACTCAAAATATGCACTTACTTCAATTTATGCATTTTTTTTCTTGAATTGTGACTGTACACTTAAAAATAATAACTATTATTTAAAAATGCATATAACAGATAAATATTTAATGTTATTACAATTTTTTTAGGTATAATTAATTTTTTTATGAATGTTATTGCAGTATATGTGTCTAAAATTAATAAATTACTAAGTCATGGGATATTTTTGGCGTCTTTTGTTCTTGGTGGTGGTTTTCTACATAATAAATGGATTATTCTGATTTTTATTATTCCATTATGTTCTCTCCACAATTTCATCATTATTATTTTTATGTTATTAGAATAATTTATATTATAATGAATCACAAGTTTCATTAGTTTCAAGAAAATGTAACTATACATATTGTGTAATTAAATAATATCAATTACTTGGCGAATTCCTTTATAGATTCCTTGTATTATTTTATATATTGTATTTATAGTTATTCTTACATTTATATATTAAATTGAAACTGAATATATGTATGGAAATTATATTATAACTGAATAGTGTATATTTTGTTTTATTCATTTAATTTTATATGTTTTATATGATAATGTAATAATGTTATAAACACAAAATGCATTACGTATTTGAATTTGAACCAGAGTTTTAATTAAGAACTCTAAGATTGATATTCTATGGAACTAATATTAATATATATATTTATAACTGACAGTTATTGATTCTTATACAAATTTTTATCGGTACCAGTTCTTTTTTATCTTGGTTCACACTAATTGATACAGTAATAAGTTACTTATTATTCCTTATTATTAATTATTTCTAAATGTTTAATTGAATACTGTAGTAAAATCATAATGTTATACATTTAATATACACAATAAATTTTAGTATTATATAGTATAATAATTAATTACTATTCTTAATTTTAAGATTTTTTTTTTAAAGAAGAACAAGTATCGAGAACCAAAGTTAGGTGTGAAATATTTTGGAACCGAACATCACCAGAATCGATAATTTTTCTTAGAACTGGCCCATCCCTACTGTATATTAATCCACTATCATTGTAAGTGGTGCATTTATGCGCTCACAGTAGCACAGTTAAACATAATTTTTATCAGTGTTCTAGATTACAATAATTAATGATATAATACACATACACGCGTATAAAAGGATTGGAAATAATACCATTAATTATAATAATAACCTTTAACATATTTAATGAGATTAAAAATAAAACAAATTTATTTTTTATGCATGTATTCTAAGGAACAAATTAAATCTAACAAAACCGAGGAAATTGCATTGCTATTAAATTAGATTTTTAAATGATACAATATTAACATTTGACGATTAATGATTATAGTGTATTTTCAAGCCACTAACAAGATACGTGAATCAGAGATAATAAGTAATAGTAATAAAAATCAAAAAGATAAATTTTTAAAATATACAGTGAAAATAAAACCATTTTTCATACAGAAAATAGTTGTCCTTTTTTCAACAAAATTATCAAGTTATCTTGCTATACATAATTTAATTATAATGATTTATGTCTTATTGTGATTTAACCATACAAAATTAAACAATGACATATGTTATTTAAAAAATACATTTTTTTAGATTTTATATCAGATAATATGATGAAAAATTAGTGTTGAAAGTTTAAATCATTAAGAATTAAGTAGCCTGCAGGTATCCTAATTGAGGTGTTTTCATCAAAAAACATATAACCGTGAAAATAAAATGTATTATACATTAATGCATAATATAAATAATATTGTGCAATAAAGAATTTTTTACAAAAGGTGTAGGTACTAACTAATTAATAAAATAGTTCATAACTAGCACACATCATATTATTACCATATAATATTTAAAATTAAATTGAAATTTTTATTAAATCTGATGACAAGTGACTAGGTACTAGGAATTACGAAAGTTGTCCTTTTGTTAACGACATCTACAAATAATATATTATTTTTAATTTTTATTAGACATAAATAATCTGTACAATATTTGCTCAATAATAGTATAGAAAAAAAAAGAAATAATACCAAAGGTGTGATTAAGCAGTACAAATAATATGAATATAATACTATGTTATAGTTGCATACTAAAATCTAATTGTGGTCTTGAGGACTAAATAATAATCAAATATTAAATTTGTAAGTCATGGTTATGAACAGATGTACATACCACATAGTATATTCCTGAATCTTGTGCAATTTAATTTGATTTGATTAATTCATGAAATTCATTTGTATTTTGTTCTTACATGGCTGTATAACATTTTATTAAATGATACAGAGTCAATGCTTGAATGCCTGAAGGATCTATTTAGTATTTCTCAAGTATACCTACTTGATGCTTATAATTTGAAATTATAATAACAACTGTATTCCTATATTTTTTAATATCATATAAAATCACAATTGTGGTTATTATTAGGATTTAAAACTGGCGGATTTTCAACATTTTTCTCGGGGGCGCTGAAAAATAATAAGTATTTCAAATTTTCTAAGGAATTATTTATATTTTTATTGAAAAATGTTTTTGCCTTGGTATTAGAGTATGCAAAAAATATTAATATTTAATATTAATTTAATCGTGAAAATTGAACTTCCTATAATACACATTTTGTATCTTACATGTTATAAGTCACATAATATTATTTAAATAATATATTGTAGATTAATATTAAGTAATATGTAGAACTCACAAAAACTAAAAACAGTAAAAAAATTTAAACAGTCAATGTGCAGTCGAAATAGTCGAATACATAAAATACCTACCTATACCTTTACCATTGATTATAGAATCTATTCTATAATCAATGCCTATACCTATACCATAATAGCAAAAGACCAAAATAATTGTCCTTTGTGTTCCTGGTGGTCAATTGCCGCAGTGAAATAAAGACTAAAATTGTGTTGTCTCTGTCTTACAAACGTACAACATAACAAATTTAACGTTCATATAAGAATACGGTTTGCATGCAATTTTTATAACTAGATTGAATTTACCTCAATTAAAATTTGAAGGCAAAAATATTTAGAGAATCTCGGAGGATTTTATTGATATTATTATTTTAAAGTATGTTATGATCGTTTTAAAATGTACAAAAAAAAAAAATTAAAAAATGGACATAAATTACCATTAAAAATAATAATAATATCAATAAAATTCTCAGAAATGCTCTAGATAATATTTTTAAATTTTAAAAGTGATGGTAAATTCACTCTAATTTTAGAAATTATAGAGCAAGACGTATGAATGTTGTACGTCTGTAACTTGTAAGACGGATAAAACAAATGTCCGTGTGGATTCTTCTTAAGAGGACGTTTCACCCGCATGTGTTGTCTCCGTCTTACAAGTGCGTAACATTACAAAAACTTTTACGCGCGGGAAAGAACCGAGAAAGATACAGTTATAACTAAGAAACGAAATTTTCATCACATAAAAAGGAGAATTTTGTCTGTGCAATATCGTTTTTATTTTTTCGATATCAGAACTACAAAAAAAGTTATTCATGCTTAAAAAACGCAAAATTAATGTATTATAAAACAATAAGAATTTTTGTTGTATAAGTGATATCGAAAAAATAAAAACGATATTGCACAGACAAAATTCACCTTTTTATGTGGTGAAAATTTCGTTTCTTAGTTATAACTGTATCTTTCTCKGTTCTTTCCCGCGCAAAACAGTTTTTGCAATGTTACGCACTTGTAAGACGGAGACAACACATGCGGGTGAAACGTCCTCTTAATCAGAGGTACGAAGTGACAGCACCGTATTGTGTACATCTTGATTTTTACAATCCGCATAAAAATCCACTAGTATTGAGGTGGTGGCGTCACAGGGTCGGATTGGCCCGGTGAGTTTCCGTGTAAAATTCGGTGGGCCGCTTAAGTCATGAGGCCGTTAAGTGAAAATGGTAATTGGTAATCGGGAAAAAAAATCCCCAGACTACAATATTATATTACTCAAAAAATTTTTTAAACGTCATAATTAGTATCTACTATCTATAATTAATATTTAATTAAACAGTCGCGTATATTATATTACATTGTTAAAAAACTATATATTATAAATAATATTTTGTTTTAAATTACGATGATACATTATGTTTAATTCAACTTCATAAGTACCTAGGTATAGCACATAAAAACATTTATAGACTAAAATGTGTTGAACTTKCACAGTATATGGTTGACGGTTCAACCACAGAACAGATACAATGGTTCAACGGTTGTAGCTGTTGTTGATAATATTATTAGGTATTTCTACGTATGTGGGCTGTGATAGAGTACAAAAAACTCGGTGTGCCGGATATGTTCAATTCGACCTTGGTCGTCGACAAATAAAACAGTTTTCCGGTGTCATCGATAGGATTCTTCCGCCGCAGCGAGTGCGGACTTTGATTACGGTATGAACGTTTTGGGATTTCCGAACAAACTAATTAATGTTGTTTCCGACAAAGTACGGTTCCGGGACTAAAAAGGTGGGATAAAAAGCGGCGGAATGTAACGTCGAACGGTGTGCTAGAACAGCTAAACACAGAAATAAGACTATGTTATAGACTTATAATAGTGCTCGAGTGAACGCTTTTCTACTTGAAGATGAGTCGAAATTATAATTCTTTCAGAGGAAGCGAAACAATAGTAGCAAAAAAATTAGTCAGATTAATCCTTTCACTGCAGCGCGAAACAACAGAAACGAACAAGACCGACAACTGTTTAAAAAGGACAAAGCGTCAACAAAAAAAAAACGACGGACACGATCGGTACTAGATATTTTATTACATTGTCGTTCGTGTTCACTAACACATTACATATTGTTGTATTATTTATTTAATTAATCGATTCTTCGCCATGTTTTTGTGTATAATAATATCATGGTTCGGGCCATGGTCAATGGTCGYGGATCCTGAAACCGGCGATATACTTACTATGTATATGCTATGCCGGCAATAGAGGATGAGAAGAGATCCGTAATAATTCGTCGATCGGTCGTTGTCGGATCAACGGTGTTTCGTTCAGCAGCCGATAGATGTCGTTCGCGTGCACGGTGGTTCGGCGTCGCAGACTCGACGCGGTCACCTAGC